AAACAGGTTCCAGGGCCAGGTATTTTAAGGTTTGTCTATATAAGATGGTAATGTAAGGTTATGAATTAAAGTTATGAAGGTCTGAGGATAGAAAGGCTTAAGTGATGGCAAATAAAGTGAGTTGAGACATTAAAAAGAATGAAATATAATCCAGATATTTCTCTACTGTTTGTAGGGGAAAGATCACATACCAAGATACTGTCCACGCCCCAAAGGCATGGACAGGGGTATGTGGGACAGGTGAGGGATGAAAGGAGAGAAAGTAAATCTCTCTCTCTCTCTTGGACCCTGGTCGCTGCAAGGACACTAGAGCTCTTCTCAGTAAGCGATTTCTATATTCAAAATATCTTAAACCTCCTTTTCAGGTAGCATTATTTACATCATCAACTATTCATAGTCTTAATATTAATAAAGTTCTGATAATCTACTAATCCAACCCCAATAGAGTACTAAATACCAAACTATATCACTATACAATCATAACTGCTAAAAAACATTATACTAAAAATATCTGTCAGTTTTAAAAATGTTAATGGAAGCCAAGTTGCTTCTAACCTAAATGTGCTACTAATGTGTCTAATACTTATGTTTACACAAATTCAAAGGATTCTTGTAAGTTCCAGGGAGCCGAATTAGACCCACCCAAACAGGTCAGATTCACTCCAAATAAATATTATTCAATCTCTCCCTGGTCCTGAGATTCCCTTCCCTCATCTTGGGACCCCTCAGGAACTCCTCCCTCATCTTACAATCCTCCCCTCAAATACCAGAACCTTAAAAAAAATTTCTAAGCTTAACCTTGTCCTCTACTCTGCTAACATCTTGCCAGGTCTAAAAGGTGCCAGAGAGTTCCATACAGCCTGGACTGCAATGGAGCAACCAGCTACCCCAGGACATGGTAGCACCCCAGCTTTCTCAGGTCCCCCAAAGATGGTCAATACCCCCCAAGTCAGCAGGAAGCAGTCTTGAGAACTCGGCATCCGTATTTCCTAACCTGCCATGCCTAACTCCCCGCCTTTTTAATAATGAGTGAAGGTATGAATGAAAGCTTCGGGCATTACCCTGGCCTGGCCCTGTCATCTGGCAGAATGCACTCAGGCAGCACTCTGGCCAGCCCAGGGTTCCATGGGTACAGTCTGCACGCAGGTGCAGGGGACCCCTTTAAAAGACAGAACCCCGCCCTCTTACACTCTCTCACTTCTCTTCGCTCTTTCTCTCTGCTCTTACTCCTCTGACTCTGCTCTTACCTCTCTCACTCTCTGCTCTCTCACACCCTTCCTCTCTTATCCTCTTCATCTCTCTTGTCTCTCTCTTCCCCTCGCTCTCCCGCGCTGTAATAAACTATGGTTAATGTAGCACACCTCTAATTTTGCTCCTTAACAAAAGAACTACAGTTTGGTCTTCCCAAACCTTGGCTTTCATTCCGACACACTGATGTGCACAACGTTCCCAAATACACAGTGGCGTTGCATACTGAGCTCATGCGTACTTGTTCCCTAGGACACCGCTGTTCAATGTGCCAGCAGTTGCTCACCCCTCAAACGCAGCTCAAAACCCTTCGAAAGCTTTTCCTGGAAATGCAACTGAGAGGGAGAAAGGCCCCATATTCGATCTCAGTACCCACCCCACCCCCAGAGTTTCCCTAGACACCTTGCTCCCGGTTTTTACACTTCTGGTGTATTTAGCACCTTAACGCCCATTGTCCAATTGATTCATTTCCATACTCTCATCTCACTAGACAGGAGCTGGCAGATCTGGGTCTTAACATATACCAAGCACATGGGACAGAGATGGTACACAGTAGGCTATCAACAAATGGTTACTATCTGGCACCTTACAACCAGCACACACACACACACACACACACACACACACACACACACACACGAACAGCTCAACAAGTACCTATTGAAAGAAATGCACCGGTATGCCCTTGCCATCTGTCAAGACAGGATCAGTGCTAAAACATTAGTGTATCTTAGACTGTTAGAAGATCCAAGATCTTCACCTATAGTAGTTCAAGAACAGGCCATCGAATGGCTTTTGCCCTCATCCCTGTGGTGCTCTGGATAAGAGTGACCCCCATGGGTGCATACATTTGAATACTTAGGTAGTAGCACTATTTGAAAGGTTTAGGTGTGACTTTGTTGGAGGAAGTGTGTCACTGGGGTGTGCTCTGAGGCCTCAAAATCCCAAGCCAAGCCCAGCGGCTCCCTCTTCTACTGCCCGCGGGTGTGGATGCAGAGCTCCCAGGTGCTTCTGCCTGCTCCCTGCCAGGCTCCCTGTCATGATGACAAGGAGCTAAGCCGCTGAAACTATAACCAAGCCCCAATTAAATGCTTTCTCCTTTAAGAATTGCCTTGGTCATGGTGTCTCATCACATCAATGGAACTGTGACTTAGAAATAAATAAGTAGGGGAATAAAGAAAAGAAATCTTTGAGTTCCTGGCCCTAAATCAATGGTAGTTTTAGGAAACACAGGAAGAAAGGAAATACACAGACCATAGAGAAAACTGGGAGAAACCTGACCCCATAAGAGCCTGCCTCCCTGACAAAGACACCCTAGGAAAAAGCCAGAGAATGAACAAACAGCAAAAGACGGGGCACCAGAATGCAGTGTCAGGAGATGGCAGAGAAACAAGGCTTCCTTCTGAGAGAGACCCCCAGGCTCAGCCCGCTGGAGGGAGAAAACCCCTGCAGACCATCAGCTCGTAAAGTAAAACCTAGCCACTGCTCCAAAATCAACCTGCGTATAGCCCAACCCCCATACCAAAAGAATGTGGACTCTGACACAATACATTCCTGCCAGGAAAATCCTACCCAGGGGCTTCTTCAGTGTGTCAGTGGACACCACGCAGCAAACCAGAGAAGGTTCAGCAGTGTCGAGGCACAGAAGGAAAGTGTTTATTGCAGGTCTCTGATACTGAAGGAGGGAAACAGTCCAGCCCTGGAACAGTAACGACTAAGCAGAGAAACCCTGGTAACCAGCAACTCACACCCAAATTAAGGGTGTGCACAATGTCCATACAGACACAGGGACCCCCAATGGTATCCCATGCCTACAACACCGGGTGTGAAGGCAAGTGCCTGTAATTCCAGCACTTGGGAGGGAGGAGAAAGATCAGGAGTTCGAGGTCATCCTACAATACACAGTGAATTTGAAACCAGCTTGGGTCACAAAACAAAAACAACCAGCAGCAAAAACAGATAAAGACTAACTCAAAGACAAAGCGTGTGGTTGAGACCAACACAGGAGGAAATTCTATTTCTTGAGTTGTACAGAGAATAGCTTCGATTCAAGACAGTCTGAATCGTGTAAGAGCACAGCTGAGAGGCACCTGCTCCCATCGCTGTAAAGACCAAACGCCACAAGAGCCATGTGGAAAGGGGCCGGTGCACAGAGACCTGCCACCCCGGGCCTTCTTCAAGGGGATGAAAAGCCATGGCTACCGCAGCACCAGTCCGGGAGCACCACCGTCAGCTGCTACCACGGTCCCCCGAGAAGCCCCGAGGCCACGAGCATCCTCCTCCTCCTCTCAGCCTCCCCGGGGAACTGTCTCCCAGGTGCAACACAATTCCCACTGCATTTCCATTATCTTACAGAGAGTCACGTGGGAACAGAGAGCTCCTAATTCCACAGACACAGAGGCAATCTGTCACTCACTGAAGGGGGAGGGCAATGTGTGGGTTTTTTTTTCCCCCACTGTTACCATTAGCTGCCTTGAGAAAACAACATTAGAGACGAGTTAGGAGAAATATTTGTGTTATGTGGGGATCGGCAGGAATATGGCGCGTGGGGGCGGGGGCGGGGATGAGTCAGGGCAGGCCCAGGGGATTCTGCTGAAGATATTTTAGCCCTGGAGCGCGCGAGGCCTCCACCTGGCTTGTTGAAACGGTGCTGGGAAGTGAGGGGCCCTCACGCCCATGAGATGGCCCTGGAGGTTTGAATGACAGTTGAGACACAGCTGCTGTGGGTAAAACCGAGCAAGTAGGGATGTGACCGGAAAGAGGGAGTCACATCCTGATGGCATCCCGAACTCTGAATGTCGAGGGAGAACGTGTGTGAGAAGCCTGTGAAACGGTGGGCGACTGTGCGAGGTGCCACTTCCATGCACAGCAGAGCCGCGGTGGTGGAGGCTTGGGTTCCTGGAAAACAACTGTGGTTTGAAGAGCTCCATCAGAAAACTCCCTGTTCCTCCAGGACTGCCAAGGCTATACAGAGAAACCCTGACTCGAAAACCAAAAAGAAGAAGGGGGGGAGGAGGGAGGGAGGAAGGAAGGAAGGAAAGAAAGAAAGAAAGAAAGAAAGAAAGAAAGAAAGAAAGAAAGAAAGAAAGAAAGAAAGAAAGAAAGAAAAAGAAGGAAAGAATGAAGGAAGACAGCCTCCCTGCTCAGCAAAGTGAAATGATACAGCAGAGGTTGGCTCAACCTCACATCCAACTCCACACTCGGACTTCTGACTCTGCAGACCCAGAAGTTGGTTTAGAAAATGTCTTCCTTTCTAGCTGGAAGCGGTGGCACACATCTTTCTTTTAGTCCCAGCGCTAGGGAGACAGAGGCAAGTGAATCTCTGTGAGTTTGAGGCCAGCCTGGTCTACAAAGTGAGTTCCAGGACAGCCAGGGCTACACAGAGAAACCCTGTCTCAAAAACAAAAACAAAACAAACAAAAAAGCAAAAAAGCAAAAAAAAAAAAAAAAAAAAAAAAAAAAGGAAAGGTCCTTTTACAGGTAAGTTTTCTTCCCACAGCTGCTGTCCTTCTAAGGGATGCGTCTATAACTTTGTGTTCTTCACTAGTACAGCAGATAAGGGGATGGGCTAAAAGCTCATGGCCACATAGGACAGCACCCTGACTCTTAGGTAAGCAATGGGAGGAAACTCTCTGTCCGTCTATTTCTCTCTCTCTCTCTCTCTCTCTCTCTCTCTCTCTCTCTCTCTCTCTCTCTCTCTCTCTCTCTCTCTCTCTCTCTCTCTCTCATGCACAGGCACACACACAACTTACCAAATGCCTTCTTGGGCTCTATTAACTGCAGAGTAAAGTGCTCCTCTTTTTTCAACTCCTTCAGCTTCTTAGCGACCTCATAGTGACGCCACCCGACAATGTTTTCTCCATTTATGGATTCAATGTGGTCCCCCACACAGATGGTTTTGATCGAGTCAATGGTGCTGCCATCTTTAATTCTCTGAAAGAAAGAAAAAGAACAGCGACGCCATCAAGTGGAACCGCGTGCGTGGCATTACTTCTCACACTCCTGAGACCCATCACGCTGACGCATCTATGATACGCTTAAAGACAGAAAACCAAGCAAGAAGGAGCACACACCCCTTCTCCGCCCACTCTTCATCTTCTGCCCATTCAGAATCCAGCTAGCCTGGAGCGCCATCACCTTTGGAAATCTTTTCCTGACATCCTCCAACCCAGGTCCCTAAGAGGGGGCAGGGCCACAGTCTTCCCGCCACAGTACCTGTGGCTGTACCCCCAGCACCCCAAACCACACACTGATAAATGATGGTTTAAAGATCTACTTTTCTTCTTATGTATTTGTTATCTCTCTCTCTCCCTTTCTCTCTCTCTCTCTCTCTCTCTCTCTCTCTCTCTCTACACACACACACACACACACACACACACACACACACACACAGAGGCAGAAGAAAGCATCAGATCCCCTGTAGATGAAGCTACAGGAGCTGTGGTGCCTACAACATTTCTTCTGCTCCATGGATAAGTTGTTTTTTCTTTTCTTAATAATTCCAGCAAGATACCCATAGAGCTTAAGCTCTGTCTAGTGGCTTTGTGCTTAAAGCTGTAGCAGTTTTTCATTTTTATTACATTTGTGTGTGTGCGTGTGCGTGCGTGTGTGTGTGTGTGTGTGTGTGTGTGTGTGTGTGTGTGTGTGTGTGTGTGTGTGTATGTGCATGTGTTTAGGAGTCAGTGTCCCAAGGACTTACCTCAGCTTGCCAGGCATGACAGCAAACACCTTTCTTTACCTGCTGAGTCATCTCATCAGCCCTATTTTTGTTTCGATTTCTGTTTTTTAAAGACATGATCTCTCTAGGTAGCCCAGGCTGGCCTTGGACTTACAATCCTCCTGCCTCTGGCTCCTAAATAATGGGATTTCAGACCTGTTCCACCACACCTACGTTATTAAACCTCACTTCTCTACAAAGCAACAGCCATGCAGAGTTTCACCCTAAGGTGTAAAATCCCCGAGATGGCACCAAGAACTCCGAAGGGATTTTAGGGAAGGGAAAACCCTGTCAGCTAAGAGCCCTGCAAACACATGCAAGTTCTCCTGGGAGATGAGCAGGGGAACGAAACAAAGGTCACAAGTCCTTCTCGTCCTTACAGGTCAGGCAGGCCAGGGACTTGGCTGCTTTGTTCCAAAAGTGCACGTACCCTACCTACCCTTACGAGGTAGACGTGCAACGCCACATCTGCTGGATCATCACATGTAAGAGTTGAGCAAAACCAGCACCTCCATAATGCTGCCATCAGAAAAAAAGTTGAAAAAGACGGAGCTTAAAAAGATAAGTGTATTTCAATTGTATCGTTGCACACCAAACGGACAATAGCTTTCATTTTACTTCTAGATTCTAAAGATAGTGCTACATTTTTTTTTGTTCTAGTACTTTTTATCACCCTGCATAGAAATGGCATGCTAATCCCCCCATGTAAATAGCCTTCGTTTATTATTACAAACAAAAAGTAGTGAAAGAGGAAGTTTCCAAATCTGACTGACATTGTTTTGCTGGAATTCGTCATCTCTTACATAACTAATAGAAACAAACATGGTAACCACAGCACACTGCTTAAAAAAATCTGTCGGGTGGTGGCGGCACACGCTTTTAATCCCAGCACTCAGGAGGCAGAGGCAGGAGGATCTCAGAGTTTGAGGTCAGCCTGGTCTACTCAGCACATTCCAGGACAGCCAGTGTTACGCAGAGAAACCCTGTCTTGAAACTGGCCCCCATGCCCCCCCTCATAAAAATCTCCAGTTTCTAAACTGTTTCAGAAAAAAAAAGATTAAACAAAAGATTTTCCTTCTAAAGAAAAAAAAACTCTAGTAAATACACTACTAAATAACAGCTCTTAAGTCACTATGAGATTTGAAATCTGCATTTAACTTTAGATATTTTTATTCTGGTTAATGTCACCTAGAGCCTACTTTTCCCTCTTTGATCAACTACTTCAAACAAATCTCAGTGGCATCATACATACCTTCAGATTTTCCAGCACTTGCAATTTAATTGAAAATAACGACACACATAAGCTTAGTTAGACAGAAGACACAGAGGTGATCACGCATGACCCTTACCTGTGAAAGAAGGGTCGGGTAGTGGAGAGGTACTGTCACCCCATCTGTGAGAAGTTAGAAAGGTCACCAGAGAGCGAGCGCCCAGGCACAGGAGGAAAGCGGGTCTCAGAACCCACACAACAGCAGGGAGAGACCAGGCGGCAGCCAAGGAGGTGAATTTGGGGATCAGGAAGACAAAGCGATTGGTGACACCTGGAGAGGGGTGACACGGTTGTTTTACGTGTGATCTGAGCTGACTTCCAAGCCAACAGAATAAACACTGAGGTGTTGAGCCGTATTAGTTAGGTCTCTTCTGTGATAAAATACCAGACTAGACCAGGCCGGGAATGATGGTGCGCGTCTTTAATCTCATGACTCTGAGGCAGAGGCAGGAGGATTTCCGTGCGGGCAACCTGGTTTTCGTAAAGAATTCCAGGACAGCCAGGGCCATGTAGACAGACCCTGTCTCTCAAAATCAAAACAAAAGGAAAACCCTGAGAAAGAAAGGGGATCATTCGGTTTACACTCTCTGGGCCGCAGTCCACTGAGGGAAGCCAAGGCAGGAATGTAAGGCGAGAGCCAGGAGTCAAGAACTGACAGGGACAGAGGAGGCTGCCTGCTGGATTGTTCTTCAAAGCAGGGTCAGCCTGCTGTTTTCACACAGCCCGGGACCACCTGCTCAGGGGCGGCAGTGCGCACAGTTAGCAAGACTCTCCTTCGTCAATCAAGACTGTACCCCAAAGATCTGCCCAAAGGCAATCTCATAGAGACGACTCTCAGTTGTGTCAAGCTGAAACAAACAAACACCAAGCCGTACAGTGGGGCTGGGAGAGACAGCTCAGTCAGCAAGGTGTCTGCTAGTCGTGCAAGCATGGGGATGTATGGGCGTCTAACCCCAGCTCTGGAGAGGCTGACACAAGAGGATGCTTGGGGCTTCCTGGCTAACTAGTCTAGCTGACTGATGAGCCCAGATCCCAGGGAGCAACCCTATCTCAGAAAGAAGGTAGGTAGGCCCCTGCGGGACGCCACATGATACTGACCTCTGGCCTCCGCATATAGATGCGGACATGTGAACGAGACTTTTTTTATTTAAATGAAATGTCAATGGATATAGGCTTCTGAAATGCAATGTGTTTTAGCGATCACACGGTAACTGAGCAAAGGTTAATCTTTCTCGGCTTATCAGGATCAAGAGGAAGGAAGGGGAAACGTCATTTGCTAATGCTTGCTGACTCGTCTACATCATTCAATATTTGCTTAAGAACATAAAGAACTTCTTCTCTCGTCCAGTTTTGGAGACTAACGCCACAAACGGCAAAGAAGGCCTGTTTAATCTGGACCCAGTCAGGGCTGGCAGGGAGCAAGCCGCACTGACCCTCCTGACTCTAAGCATATATATCTACACACTCACATTTATTACTCATTGAAGAAAACACGGTACCACAAATAATGAGATGACAAACCCTCCGCATCTCTTCCAAAGTGGTCCCCTAGGGAACTGTCATCTGCTCCAAAGGGTATAAGCCTGTCTCTCAGCATAAGGAAACATTAGAAAATGCAGATCAGGAGCAGAAGGGACGGCTCAGAGGGTGGGAACAGAGGAGCCACTGTTCAATTCCCAGCACGCACATGGCACTTACAAGCATCTGTAACTCCAGTTTCATGTGATCTGACAACCCCTGGCCTCTGCAAGCACCAGACAGTCACACAGTGCACAGAGGTGTGTGCAGGCAAAAATACCCAAACATATTTTTTTAATCAAGGAAAATGATGGATTAAAGCGAACCCTACCAAAAGCTAAGGAAGTATTCCAGAGACACAGACCAACTGACGGAAAGCAGGACGCTGCCCGGGAACAACCAGAGGCAGGGGACACGCAGAAGGCAATCCAAACCGACGTGGGCTAGAGACGAGTGTCTCTTGTCTGTCTTTGCTTGTGGTGAGACGAGAGCTGGTCTTACACTCAGCCAAAGGGGCCTGAACTTGTGATCACTCTGCCTTTACCCGCTGAGTGTTGGTGTTATAGGCAGGCACCTCTGTGCCCAGTCTTATGTTGTGCTGGGGACAGATCAAGGTTTTGTGTGTGTGTATGCAAGACACACTCTCCCCATAGAACTACATCCCCAGCCCTAGGGATTAGTTATAGAGCCAAATCAGTGTTCGATTCTTCTCAGTTTCATAATTGTACTGTGGTTATGTGTAGCATAAAGAATATTTTTGTTCTTAACAATTACACCCTGTGATTAGGAATAAAAAAGGATGGATATAGATAAAGATGCAGATATAAATGCATACTAAAGCACAGCAAATTAGCAAATGATTAAAAACTGTGCATTTATGTAGATGGCATATAAAAGCTATTTTTATAACTGTTATAATATTTTCCATTTTTAAATTATCCAATTTATAACATTTTTATCATCTATATTTTAAAGTACACAATATGTCAGCTTCCTCCTTTCTCATCACGCCCTCTGTTCCCAAAGGATTAGTGACTAGTACTCTGAGGCAGGCACATGTTTGACAAGACATTAAAAAAAAAAGAAACAGCAGCTTTGAATGTCAGAGGCTAACATCCAAAGCTTCCACACACGTTTGCGAAACTCCCGAGCCCTGCTCTGCAGACAGCAGGCAGCCTCTGCCGCCAGTGCCCGGTTGTCCTAAGCTTCCCCTGGACTATCCCACATGACTCTCCCAACTCAAGGATTTTCCATTTGGTCACCCACTCAACCTCCAGTGCACTCCTATCTCCTGCAGAGCTAAAAATAACCGTTTATCAAGCGGCCAGTCAGAGTGGTGCCCACAGCTAGCATGACATCCCTGCGGCTGTTTCTCTAACCGTGACGGTGAATCAGCAAAGAGAGGCATGAACTGTTCTGTGTTGCACACAGCCTGTTGATAAATCTTAGCTCAGTGCATAGAAACGCCGCTCTAGAGTCAGACGTCTTGGGTTCAAATCCCGAACCTGGCTAGTAGCATAATTTTGGCCAACCTGTTTAACCGCCCTGATATCTCTGCACTGTGAAGGGGGAGCTGGCCACATTGCCCACCACTGACAGATCGCAAAGACACACTGGGAAAGGCAGAGACGGCAGAGTAGACAATGCATGATGCTGTAAGCGGATGGCAGCGGATGCCCCTTTCCGGGGCAGGTATCAACTGGAAGGGTGAAAGAGAGAGCCTTCAGGGTGCCAGAAACTCAGTGCCTGTGGCTCCTACGCCGTTATACCAGTGTTAGTAAGCGAGCGTTCATTAGGCTGTGGATGGTTTCAGGGGATTCACTAGACTGCAACATGAAGGCAAATTTAAAAAGACACAGTGCTAATAAAATAAGGTTGTTGTGAAAATGGGAGACAGACCAGTTGAAAAGCAAAGCGCTTGCTGTGAGACCCCGAGGACCAGAGCTTATATCTCTGGCACCCACACAAAGAGGCAGGCAGGCATGCATCTGTAATGCCAGCAGTGAGGAGGCAAAGGCAGGCATGCATCTGTAATGCCAGCAGTGAGGAGGCAAAGGCAGGCATGCATCTGTAATGCCAGCAGTGAGGAGGCAAAGGCAGGCAGATCCCTAAAGCGCTTGACAGTCAGCCTAACCTGACCAGTGGGCTGTAGCTCAGTGAAAGGCCTTGTCTCAAAAAAATGAGATAAGTGACTGAGGATACCAGGCTCTGGCCTCCACACACACGAACGCATGTGCACACACCTACATACCCATGTGCGCACCCACACGGACACAAGCACCACCGCACACATAAGATTAAAATAAATCAAAACACTAGTAAGTAAGCATGTGCACTTACTAGTGTCGGACAGGCATGCCATGTAAGTTGGCTGCTATAATGGCCGCCAACCCTGAGGCAGGAGGATCACTTGAGGCCAGGTCATGGACGGCCTGGGCTCCATGGCAAGACACTGTCTCAAGAGAACATTCAAGAATTGTCTGTACTGCACATACAGAAGCATTTCCTTGGCCTCTAAGCCATGTGACACAATAGCTACTTACATAGATATCAGAGGTTATCTGGAGATGCTCTAAAGCTATACACGAGGGTGCACTTAGGTTATATAGAAATGCTATGCTATTTGTATCAAACAATCAAACAAGCAGGCACAGGTTTTAGCATGCACAGGGGTTCCTGAACCAACCACACACACACACACACACACACACACACACACACACACACACACACACACGGATGGACGGACGGACGGACGGACGGTCAGGGGAGGAAGGAGAGCTGCACTCATAACAGAGTTTTTACTTCTTCGTATTCTCATACTCATACTATTTTAAACTTGTCTTCACAACTCTGTCACTCTTTTTGTATTCATACAAAAGACTTCCATTGTTCAGATCATTCTGAAGAGCATTTTTTTTTTTTTTTTTTGGTTTTTACGAGACAGGGTTTCTCTGTATTGTTTTGGAGGCTGTCAGTCCAGCCCTGCCTCCCGAGTGCTGGGATTAAAGGCGTGCGCCACCACCGCCCGGCCCTGAAGAGCACTTTTAAAGAAATCTGGGCAGTTAGAAGTGACACTAACCCACTGGAAATCATCCAGTACGTCCTCCAAGACACACAAGCAGTTCTAAAGGGGGACGTTTAAAGCAAAGGGAAGAATTTCAAAGAGAGTGCAAAAAAAAAAAAAAGCTATCTAAATGACAGTGAAATACCCATTTGTGAACCCCAGCTGGGGACTCCCTGAAGACAACTTCTAATCCTCTTTGACCTAGCAGTTTCCTTAACTGGGCCACCCTGTGATCTCTTTTTTCAGAAACTTACCTTGATAAAGGCATAGCCAACGCCGTTATCTGTGATGGTGAGTCCAAGCGAGTCCTCCGCTTTGTAGACGTTCACTTCCTTTCTGATGCCTTTCACGTGGGCAAATATGAAATCTTCAAGACCCAGCTGCCCTCCCAGGAGCTTTTCCATGTCAATTCTGGGAGTGTTTAACGTACAAAATAAGATCTGTGAGGAGAGAGAAAGAAGCCTTTTTAGATCAGTCTGGTCATTAATGAACTTACTCAATAGTAGGCCTCAATTTATGAGGCACGGGTCTCTGCCATAACGCGTATTATTAGCACGTTGGTGGGTGGGTAGAATTTGAGGCAACATTTTCCTATGATAACATTAGACAACATATATTGAATATTCCTGAAGACCAGTCCCTAGGCTAAGTCGTTTATGTCCACTCTCTCATTTAACCCTCACAATTACTGTATAAAGGACATTGTCCCCCTCTTATCACAAACAAGAAATGGAGACTTAGCAAGGTAAAGTAATTTGCTTAAAGACGCAAAGTCACCACTTGCCAATGCCAAGGACCTGACTCCAAATCTCATCAACGACAGAGCGGTTTAAGTCAGGTGTCCTATTGCTCACAGCTCCAAAAGATAAGATTCTAATACCGGAGGTCTTCACAATGCATATGCATTATAGCGACGCACGCACCGCAGGGAAATGCATAGAAAACCAGTAAACAGATATTTTTAAACAAGAGGCATTTTCTTTCTTTTGCGTCATAGTGCTGGCCTCAAGCTTCTGCCTGCTGAGTGCTGGAATTAAAAACACATGCCACCGTGCATGGCACTCTACAGGCGAGTACAGGTTATTTTACAAAACGAAACCGCCTAGCTGAGCTACTGTTGCCTTGTATTACTTGTTACTAATGGGCTCAATGCCCAGCACAGGAGAGGGGATACAATTTAAATAGTGGACGGAATATTGTAGGAATAAATTGTAGGTTATCGACTAGCAGATACAACCACTTAAACTTTTAAAAAGAGATGTGGGCGATGGCACATGTCTTTAATCTCAACACTCAGGAGACAGAGGCAGGGGGACCTCTGTGAGTTCCAGACCAGCCTGGGCTGCATAGCGAAACCCTGAGTCTTGGAAGGCATTGCTAACGTTTGGGATACATCCAGAGTTCTTACAAAATTCAGTAAGGGATTACGCATAAAAAAATAACATCGCAAGCCAACGAGTCCTAAGGGTCCTGCCCTACTGTTCCCAGTAAGACAGACACATCCTGAATAACATTTGCAGCCACACGTGAGAGCTTCTTAAAATGCAGGATCGGGAGCTGTCCCGCCGGCAGCATCAGGTAAACAGGCCAGCTTCCCGGCCTGTGTTCCAGAGCCTGCAGATCGCCTGGGAACTGCACAGAGCTCCCAATCCCAGCGGGAGCCAAGCACCCCAGACTCCAGATCTTCTCTTCCACCAACGAGACCAGGAAACTAGAGGAGGCTGGGAGTACAGGGAAGTAGCTGTCCCTCTGGCAGCATCAGGTAAACAGGCCAGCTTCCCGGCCTGTGGTCCAGAGCCTGCAGATCGCCTGGGAACTGCACAGAGCTCCCAATCCCGGCGGGAGCCAAGCACCCCAGACTCCAGATCTTCTCTCCCACCAAAGAGACCAGGAAACTAGAGGAGCCAGGGAGACCAGGGGAGTAGCTGTTCCGGATCAGGTACAACAGGACCCAGCATAGGGTCCAGGGGACCAGGTAGGAGGCTAAGCGCCCCAGATTCCTGTTCTTCTTCTCCACCCACGGACCAGCATTTGGACAAGGTATAGAAGAACCACCAGATTACTGGACTTACTAGCACCCACCAAAAGGGAACTCTGGTCCCCAGACCAGGAAGGGGCTCTTTCTGCACCCACTAGAAGAAGAGATGGGAAAGAGACAATACAAAAACACAGTCAGCAACAGAAAAACAAATATGACACCGCCAGATTCTAGAGACTCCACACCAGCAAGACCCCAATATTCTAACGCGAAGGAAGCAGAAGAGAACGACCTTAAAAGCACTTTCATGAAAATGATAGAGGCCCTAAAAGAGGATATTGGAAAATCCCTCAAAGAAATGGAAGAAAAAACAAACCAAAAAATGCAAGAAATGGAAGAAAAAACAAACCAAAAAATGCAAGAATTGGAAGAAAAAACAAACCAAAAAAGGCACGAAATGGAAGAAGAAATGAAGCAAAAAATGCAAGAAATGGAAGAAAAAGCAAAGCAAAAAATGCAAGAATTAGAAGAAGAAACATACCAAAAAAGGCAGGAAATGGAAGAAGAAACAAAGCAAGAAATGGAAGAAAAAAAAGGCAAAAAATGAAAAAAATGGAGGAAGAAACAAACCAAAAAAGGCAGGAAATGGAAGAAGAAACAAAGCACAAAATCCAAGAAATGGAACAAAAAGCAAACCAAAAAATGCAAGAAATGGAAGAAAGAACAAACCAACAAATTCATAAAAGGCAACAAATGGACGAACAGATAAACAGAAAATTGCAAGAAGCAATGCAAACGCTGCAAGGGTTGAAAACTGAAATAGAGACACTAAAAAAAACACAATCTGAAGAAAGGCAGAAAATAGAAAAGCTGGACAAACAGTCAGGCACTACCAATACAAGCATCACCAACAGAATAGAAGAGATGGAAGAGAGAATCTCAAGTGTTGAAGATACACTAGGAGAAATGGATTTATCAACCAAAGAAAACCTTAAATCCAACAAATCCTTAACACAAAACATCCAGGAATTATGGGACACCATGAAAAGACCAAACCTAAGAATAATAGGTATAGAAGAAGGAGAAGAAATCCAGCTCAAAGGGGCAGAAGGCATATTCAACAAAATCATTGAAGAAAACTTTCCCAACCTTAAGAAAGACATGCCAATGAAGGTACAAGAAGCCTACAGAACACCAAATAGAGTGGACCACAAAAAAATCCCTCGCCACATAATAATCAAGACCCCAAACATACAGAATAAAGAAAGAATATTAAGAGCAGCTAAGGAAAAAGGTCAAGTAACATATAAAGGCAGACCTATCAGAATTACACCTGATTTCTCCATGGAAACGCTGAAAGCCAGAAGGTCCTGGATAGATATTCTACCTACTCTAAGAGACCATGGATGCCAACCCAGACTACTATACCCGGCAAAGCTCTCAATCACTATAGACGGAGAAAACAAGATATTCCATGACAAAACTAGATTCAACCAATATGTGACCACTAACCCAGCCCTACAGAAAATTTTGGAAGGAAAACTCCAACCCAAGGAAGCTAACTACAACCAGAAAAACATAAGCATTAGAGAATCCCTCTCTACCAACAGTCAAAAGAACAAAGGGGTGAAATTCCACCCATAATTCCACCAACAACAACCATCGCAAATCGAAGAAGGATGAGCAATCAATGGTCATTAATATCCCCCAATATTAATGGCCTTAACTTAACCATAAAAAGACACAGACTAGCAGATTGGATTCGAAGACAGAACCCTTCCTTCTGCTGCATACAAGAAACACACCTCACCCTCAAAGACAGATATTACTTGAGAGTTAAAGGTTGGGAAAAATTTTTTCAATCAAATGGACCCAAGAAACAAGCAGGGGTAGCAATCCTAATATCTAACAAACTAGACTTTAAAATAAAATCAATCAAAAGAGATGAAGGAGGTCATTACATACTCATCACAGGTGAAACCCACCAAGATGAAGTGTCTATCCTGAACATCTATGCCCCCAATACAAAGGCATCCACATTCGTTAAAGAAACATTATTAGAACTTAAATCTCATCTAAAGCCCCACACAGTTATAGTGGGAGATTTCAACACACCACTCTCACCACTAGACAAGAATACCAGACAGAAACTCAACAAAGAAGCAAAGGGTCTAATAGAAGTAATGACCCAACTGGAATTAACAGATATCTATAGAACATTTCATCCACATAAAAAAGAATATACCTTCTTCTCAACACCACATGGAACCTTCTCAAAAATCGACCACATACTTGGCAACATATCAAACCTCAGCAGCTACAAAAACATTGGAATAACTCCATACATCTTATCAGACCACCATGCCTTAAAATTAGAATTCAACAGCAACACAAATTGCAGAAAACCTACAAACTCATGGAAATTGAATAATGCTCAACTGCACCAACCCTGGGTCAAAGAGGAAATAAAAAAGAAATTAAAGACTGCCTCGAATTCAATGAGAATGAAGACACAACATACCCAAACCTATGGGACACTTTGAAAGCAGTGCTACGGGGGAAGTTCATAGCACTAAGTGCTCACATGAAGAAACAGGAAAACAGTTATACCAGAGAATTAACATCACAGCTAAAAGCTCTAGAACACAAAGAAGCAAACTCCCCCAGGAGGAGTAGACACCAGGAAATAATCAAATTGAGGGCTGAAATCAATAAAGTAGAAACCAGGAAAACAATACAAAGAATCAATGCAACGAAGAGTTGGTTCTTTGAGAAAATCAACAAGATAGACAAACCTTTGTCCAAACTTACCAAACAGCAGAGAGTGAACACGCAAATTAACAAAATCAGAAATGAAAAGGGGGACATAACAACAGACTCTGAGGAAATCCAGAGAATCATTAGGTCATACTTTGAAAACCTGTATTCCACAAAATTCGAAAATTTAAAGGAAATGGATGACTTCCTGGACAGCTATCATTTGCCAAAACTAAATCAAGAACAGATAAGCAATTTAAATAGACCTATAACCCCTATGGAAATAGAAGCTGTCATCAAAAGTCTCCCAACCAAAAAAAGTCCAGGTCCAGATGGCCTCAGTGCAGAATTCTACCACAAATTCAAAGAACAGCTTATACCAATTCTTCTCAAAGTGTTCCACACAATAGAAGCAGAAGGGTCTTTGCCAAACTCTTTCTATGAGGCTTCAATAACCTTGATCGCCAAGCCACACAAAGATACAACCAAGAAAGAGAACTTCAGACCAATATCCCTCATGAACATTGATGCAAAAATACTCAATAAAATACTGGCAAATCGGATCCAAGAACACATCAAAACAATCATTCACCACGACCAAGTAGGTTTCATCCCAGGGATGCAGGGATGGTTTAACATAGGAAAATCCATCAACGTAATCCACCATATAAACAAGCTGAAAAACAAAAATCACATGATCATCTC